GGGCTCTCTGCTCAGCACTGAGCCTGCTTCCTCCTCTCTCTGCCTGCCTCTCTGCCTACTTGTGATCTCTCTCTCTCTCTCTGTCAAATAAATAAAATCTTTAAAAAAAAAATAAAATAAAATAAAATTAGAAATCAATCTTAACAGATTTAAGGGGAACAAATTATATGATTATTTCAATAGATGCAGGAAAAGTGTTTAATAAAATACAACACCTACTTATGAGGAAAACAACTCAGAGAGCTATGAGTAGAAGGGAGCTTCCTCAATCTAATCAAAGGTATCTATTGAAAAGCTCAGAGCAAACATCGTATTTAATGGTGTTAGGTAGGAACAAAACAAGAAACAGAACAAGATCTATGGTGCAACACCATTCATGTAAAATAAAACACAGGTATCCTCCTCCGATTCTCTTTGAAACCTCATCCTTGGAATTTCATCATGAGGAGAAAAACCCATTAGCCTCAGTAAGGAAAGATCAATTCCCTGGTTTTTAGGATGCAGGCATATAGATACAGCCAGTAATAAAAAGCTGGGAAATGTAATTTTAAAAAAAGACTCAACTTACTCTGGCTACAAAAATTATAAAACGGCTGGGAATAACCTTAAGAAATGCCAAAAACCTATATTTAAAAACTATAAAACTTGACTGAAAAACATAAAAGAAGACGAAAGAAAGAAAGAAGAAAGGAAGGGAGGGAGAGATCTTGGAACACTATATCAAAAACTAATGATGTATTGTATGGTGACTAACATAACACAATAAAGAAAATAAAGTACTAATCACAGATTAAAAAAAGAAAGAAAGATGGGACGCCTGGGTGGCTCAGTCATTAAGCGTCTGCCTTCGGCTCTGGGATCGAGCCGCTCATTGGGCTCCCTGCTCTGTGGGAAACCTGCTTCTCCTTGTGTTCCCTCTCTCTCTGTCTCTGTCAAGTAAGAAAAAACAAACAAACGAACAAACAAACAAACTACTGCATTCCTGGAAGGAAAGAGTTACATAATAAAGATGCCAATTCTTCATAAATTATTCTGGAGATTCTTTTCCCCAAGTCAAAATCAAGGAGTTTCTGTGGACTGTAACAAGTTAATTCTAGATTGGGAAGAGTAAGTGTACAAGACTAGAAGTCAAGACATTTTTGAAAAAGAAAACCAATGAAGAGGATCTTGCTAAATTCCTTAGTTTGATTAAACAAGGCTTAAATAATACAATTTCACTTTTGCCATTGAAAAGTAGAAAAACATAGTAGAGTTTAAAGTATTCACCAGTAGAATTAAAAATGTGTCATTTTTAAAAATGGGCTATAATATTCTTTAAATGGGTCCCCTTAAAATTTGGACTGTAAAAGATAAAAACCAGGAAAATTGGAGCACCTGGGTGGCTCAGTTGGTTAAGTGTCTGCTTTTGGCTCAGGTCATGATCTCGGGGTCCTGGGATCTAGCCCCACATCGAGCTCTCTGCTCAGGGGGGAGTCTGTTTCTCCCTCTCGCTCTGCCGCCACCCCCTTGTGCTGTCTCACTTTCTCTCTCTCTCTCTCTCTCTCTCTCTGTCTCTAATAAATAAATAAAATCTTTTAGAAAAATCAGGAAAATATAGTATGACTAGCAATTGACAGAAAACCAACTACCAGAAGGATTTTATCAATATGACAGACAGAGCACCAACTCCTAATTGATCTG